CTTCAATACGCCCGGGGTGAATGCGCAGGCTGTCGCGGAGACGGTGCTTACGCTCACGATGTCTGTGGCTCGCGAGGTTGGTCGCATAACAGCGCTGCAAAGTGCCGGGTTTAGTGTGCCGAAAGAGACCTGCTCGGGTTTGATCATCAACAAGAAGACGATCGGGATAGTCGGTATGGGTAACATCGGCCGCAAGGTTGCGCAAATCTTCCAAGGCGGATTAGGATGTCGCATCGTGGCGTACGACCCACTACTGCCAAAGGATGCTTGGGAAGATATTCCGCATACCCGAGCAGCGACCTTGGAAGAAGTCCTTCGAGCTTCAGATGTCGTAACACTACACGTTCCTCTAATACCTCAAACCCGGGGTCTCATATCGTATGAACAATTCAAGATCATGAAGCCCACTTCGATCTTGATCAACGCGGCCAGAGGCGGAATTGTGCATGAGGCCGATCTCGAACGCGCTTTGAAAGAAGGTCTGATTTGGGGAGCGGGTCTGGACTGCCATGAGCATGAGCCTCCGACCAAAGAGATTTATGGTAGTTTGTGGGAAACGGGACGGGTCGTGAGCACTCCGCACGTAGGTGCTGCAACGGCCGAGACCCAGATGGAGACTGCGATGGCGGCAGTGGATCGATTGTATGACTATGTCCAGACTGTCCGAGCGATCTAGCTAGGGTGCTGCTTACTGAAGCGTCACCTCACCTTCTCTTGGCCATATCCTTTCTTTAGTTGTAGGAGAAAGAATTCCAATAATCTACGTTAGTGTTCAACGAGCCCCAAGCGTACTCGCCCAGCCCATATTCAAGTTGGTTTAGAAGGTCGTTAGTTAGACCCATGCCGAATTCTTGCGAATCTTGGTGATTTGGAAGGTCAGGAAAGTCCCCAAGTATCAAGTGATCCAGGTTTGCCCGTTCTTGCTGCTGACCATCCGATTGTAGGTGATCGGCAGTGATGGCGTCAATGCTCGAGTGCAGCGAACCCGCGTTGAGATGGTGATCAGGGTAGATTTGCGTGTCATGGGTTGGAGGCTGTTGGAAACTTGGCTGAATCGGGTTTGCGGGGACATTTTCTGACACCTGTAATGCAGATGTAAAACGATCTTTGACGAACTCTTCCAGTATGACGCTGAAGACTGTGGCGAAAGAACCTGCGTCTGGCATTTTGTCTTTGAAGTAGTTTAACAATGAGCTGCAAATGTCGAGCGTTGGCAGAGTTTCAGTGTCAGTGAGGGAGGGCTCGTTATTATCGCTCAAAACACCCAAGATAATGCAATAGATGACAGTGAGACCTGCGGTAAAGATCATCTGAAAGTAGCTGCGTGTCCAAGTGATAGCGTTTCTGCGTCGAAGGTCTGCATACAGTTGTATCGTATGTATCGCTGATTGATAGCACACTTTCAGTATCTCCCTCACAATGGACGTTCCGGAGAACTGCCGTGCTGGTAGGTTGTGCATGGCGCCACGGGCAAGCAGGAGACGGTCCTTCTCATACATAAAGTCATGCCATTCAGACCGCTCGTATAGACATTTGGGGTCTACGAAGACTGGTATTGACGACCGCAATGCACGGAGCTCTTTGTCGAATTGTATGAATGACGAATATATGTGGCCTATCGATTGAAACCTGGCGGTCCGAGTGCTGTCTTCGCTATTGTATGAGGTGGGCTTCCGACCAGTATAAAAGGCAGTGTGTACCCGAGAGCTTAGCCGTCGCAGCTTGATGCAAAACAGGTTGACTGACAGCTCGCTTGGGCTAACGTTCGTGACGGAAGGAACATCTTCAAGTACAGTAGCACCAGACGTTACGATTGTTTCATCGTCAGCATCAATCGGTAGTGGCATGCTTATCTCCGACTCGAGAAGAGCGAAAGGACGGCCTAATATGCCCGAGCTGTAACGGTCGTGGACGTAGCACTCCCAGAATATCCTGCGCTGATGTTGTTCTTTCAATGGGCTCAAGCCGTCCTGTGCCTTCGAATGAAGACCCAATTCAATGCACTGCCGCATACACAAGCGGGATATTTCCCATATCGATGCTCCAATGTGATGGTACATGCCGAATCTCGCTATCAGTAATAAGTTCTGGATAGCTTCCGCATCTTTGATCAACGGTATGCCCGCAAGATAATGTTCAGCCGCAAGATAATACCCGTACGGATGCTCGGCACTCCGGCCATCAGCCTGGCACTCGCGATGCCTGGTCGTGTCGCTGATCGCGAATACCATAAAGAGGCGAAAGTAGTCCTGGGCCGAGGATCTCTCTGGTGTTGGCGAGAGGGAGTAAACCCTGCTAAAGACGTCTAGCATCTCGCTACGAAGGAGAAAAGTATGGTGGACGTGAAATCGAGTGAAGTAGTTGTCAAATAATTGTCGTGCCTGCGCCAGTGGTGGTAGTGCTCGAGCGACAGGTCGATGCGCAGCAATACGAGGGCGCTTCGCAAGTTGCTCGAGTATTTGTGCGCGATGGTGTTGCCATTTGGTATCAGAAAGGATATTTTGCAAGAAGCCCAGGCCGCTGCCGTCGCCAACGAACCCACTCTGGGTATCTGAGCTCGTTACCGTCTCAGGGCCTGTTGGTGTCCGATTGGCAACGTCCGATCTTTCGTTGGAGGCTGGTGTCGCAACGCCTGTGTCGTCAAGATCGCTCAGCCTACGCTGCAGATTGAGTTCCTTCTCTTCCAGCTGCCGGATGTAGTCACGTGCATACTGTTCGCCGGTGATAGCATCAACGATGATGCAGGCGGTATTCCTTTTCCTACAGTTTGTGCATTTGGGTGCCTGTCTGTCGCATTTGACTTTGCGCAGTTTGCACTTCTGACATGCGGGCAGTTGGTATTCGCGCTCTTCCATCGTGATACATAATCGTGAATGCTGGCTTGCAAATCAGCGGAGGATGTTTGCCGAACACACATGGGCACCGTTAACGACGTAACAACTCACCAACGGACACACCCAAGTTGCGTCGCGAAATGATCTCAGGCTCGAGTGTGAAGCCTAGGAGAACGTCCGTCGAATGTGATGGAGATGGAGAGGCTGGGGCTGTTCCAATCCTAGGGTACCGACCATTGGTGGCGCTGCCATGCGAGATAGCCGAAAGTGTGCGGGGGCCGCCAATTGAGCACGTCCAAAACCATCGCATTGTAGGCTCGACCCTTTGAATACTTGAATACCGACCATCACGTAAGTTCACTTTCGCGGGCACGTACTCCGCACATGAGACAGAATCCTGGAAGTACGCAGTGATAATATAAGACTGGTGAGAAGTATTTCATTCATCATACAACGCAATAGCTCGCCCTTTAAGTACCGCAGGCGTCTCTCCACTACCCTTCGGACATACTTGGATAAACATGACCCCTCAGCCCATGCTCCGGATGGAGCGAGGTTCCGATATGCCATCTGGGGACCCTTTGAACATGTCATCTTGGCGGACAAAAGCTGTCAGGGGAGTCGGATAGGACCTATGTCTGTTGTCATTCAGCTATACGCTGTATACGACCTTGGGAATCCACGCGCAATCGACTACGGGGTTGCTGGGTTCCGGACGATCCGTGAGCGCTTTAAACTTTGAAGATTAAGCCGTGCTCGGCCCTTCATCGGCATCTGTGCATACTGAGGTACAAAGTACACCATTTCCCCTTGCCGGTGGTTCTTCGCGTCGTTTCAAACAACTACAATATCTACCTTTGAACTAAGAACAGCTATTCCTCTCTAAACAGACTACATCATGGAGATGATCGTAGGAATGATAAAGAACAAGTGGGGCGCTCTGCCCAAGGAGTCAACTGAGTCCTTTACAGGGCGAAATGTGCTAGTCACAGGCGCCACCTCTGGGCTAGGGTATGCGGCAGCGGCCAGATTCGCGAAGCTGGGAGCATCAAAGATCATCATCACAGCCCGAGACGAGGCCAAGGGTGCGGCGACCAAGAGCCAGCTCGAAGCAGATACCGGGGAAGCTGTCCACTTTGAAGTCTGGGATCTGGACATGACTTCATACGATAGTGTCGTCAAGTTCGCGCAACGAGCCGTTAGCGAACTCGACCATTTGGACGTCGCTGTCCTCAACATTGGAATCTTCAACACCGCCTACCAACAGTCGAAGCATGGCTGGGAGGGTGACCTACAAGTCAACACACTTTCCAGCATTCTGCTCGGTATACTCCTCTTGCCGAAATTGAAAGAGTCGCAAAAGCAGACGGGGAAGATTCCTGTACTGCAGTTCGTCAATTCGGGCATGCACACGGTCATGAACATCTCTGATGACGTTCGAAACAAGCCCGCGATCTTGCCCGAGTTCAACAGAGAAGAAACCTTCGCCGGCGCCCAGAAGCAGTACGGTTATTCGAAGCTCCTTCAGAGATACGCCATCATCGAGCTGGCCAAGAAAATCCCGTCCAGCGAAGTTATCATCACGGCAGTGTGTCCCGGCGCAGTCGTTACGAATATCGACCGCGATATCAAGTTTCCTGGTGTCAAGATCGTACGGGCGATTGTGCATACCTTGGCGTTCAGAACGGCGGATCAAGGAGCCAATATATACATTACTGGCGCGTCCCAGAATGAGGAACTCCATGGAAAGTTCTGGGCGAATGATAAGATTCAGACTGATAAGCCGAACATTGTAGCAGAAGAAAATGAGAAGCTTGCGTTGAGGGTATGGAATGAGATTGTGGAGGAACTGGCAAAACATGTGCCGGAGGTCAAGGAGTGTCTCGCATAATACCTTTAGCGTAATTCATCGTAGCGTCGAATGCACTTTAAGATTGCTCGAGTGAAAGTGAAAGATAGCCCTAAGGTGAAGTCATGTGCCGGACTATGTATGTCGGGTAGGCGTTAACGTACAGTGTGTGTAGTCGGAGAAGATGGTAGAGAGCGGAGGGGGCTAACGCACGCTTTGACCACCAGCTCCACCAAAAAAGTTCAGCGGCAGGCGCGAACTTCAGTGCAACCATCAGCGCATTCACCCGCCGCCCGCCTTTGCCAGACATCCAGAGCATGGCGCCGCCTTCCCACTCGCCCGACACGTCAATCTCTTCCCACACTCTCTCCATCGGCTCCATTCAACCGCCGCCCATGGAACTTCCACCAACCGCGGCGACTTCGCCTACAAGTCTGCTCACCAAACCGCTCGCCTTCCTCCAGCCCACGGCGCAGCTCAATGCGACTTTCCTTGCCGCTGCGAAACGATATCTCGATCCAGTAGCCGCCGGCGTAAGCGCGTCACAATCACAGCGACAACAAGATCTGCGCAAGAAGCGGAAGCGGGGCGGCGGCTACGATGATGATATCAGCGTGCTACACTTGAAGAAGGTGCACTTGGACGGATTCGGTGTGAACCAGGTCTTCGAACAGACGCGCAAGATCGTCGAAGCGACAACGGATGAGATTGAACTTTCTCTGCCCGACCACGACGGTGGCCTTGTGCCTATCCGTCATGGCGAGGAAGACGACGACGAGGACATTGAAGAGGCCGAGGAGGAGTACCACACCGACTCAGACATTGGCGAAGAGGGCGTCGACTGGGAATACGATGGTGTGGACGAAGACGAGGATGAAGACGCGCTTGATGGCGAGCCGGACGAAGAGGACATCGACATGGAAGATGGAGCAGACGGCATCTTCTCCGACGATGCGTCAGACGATGCGCCCGCGGAAACCTACCAACCCGACCCCAACGGTCTCAACGACGGGTTCTTCTCCATAGACGACTTCAACAAGCAAACCGACTTCCTGGAGCAGCAGGATCAGAGGGGCGAGGGTGCGGACAGCGACGATGACGAAGTAAACTGGGAGGCGGATCCCATGGAAGACGGCCCATCCACAGGCAAAGCCAATGGCATCGCAGGAGATGCATCCGGCGATGAGTCTGACGAGGGCGGACCAACCTTCGGCAACGTTGATCTGAATGCACCAGAAGGCGACAGTGGCGATGAGGACGACCTCGAGGACGGTGACTTAGATGGCCTTGACACCGGTATGAACGCCAACAACGTCATGTACAAGGACTTCTTCGCGCCTCCCGCACAAAAGGCGAGCAAGAACAAGAACGGCAAGAAGCGCGGACGACCCAACCCCCACAACTTCCCCGAGAAGCAGTCGCAACCAGCAGAGGAAGTTGAGGAGGACGTGGAAGGAACCATGGCCAGGGTACACCGAGATCTCTTTGAAGATGACGACGATATGGAAAGCGAGGGCGACCTCTCCGACGTAGACCCCTCAGACCCCAAGTCGAGACGATCAACACACGAGCGGAGACAGGCCAAGATCGCAGAGGAGATCCGAAAACTGGAAGCAGCCAACGTTGCGAAACGGGAATGGCAGCTATCTGGCGAAGCCCGCGCAGCAGACCGACCAGTAAACTCGCTTCTCGAAGAGAACCTCGAGTTTGAACGCGCCGGCAAACCCGTCCCCATAGTCACGCAAGAAACTTCCGAAGACATCGAAGCGCTCATCAAGCGCCGCATCCTAGCCGGCGAATTCGACGAGATCCACCGCCGCCGACCCGACGACCTCGCCACCGGCCCCCGACGAGGCCGCTTCGAGCTCGACGACACAAAGTCCGGCAAAGGCCTCGCCGAAATCTACGAAGAAGAGCATCTACGCGAGACAGACCCCAACTTCGTCGAAGCCAAAGACGAGAAGCTAAAGAAGGAGCACGACGAAATCACCGCGTTATGGAAGAGCATATCCGCCAAACTCGACTCCCTCAGCTCCTCGCACTTCAAGCCCAAGCCCGCAGCGCCCAACCTAGAAATCCGGACCGATGCGCCCGCCATCGAGATGGAAGACGCGCGGCCCACCGCTGGCGGCGAGGTCGCGAGCGCAAGTATGCTCGCGCCGCAAGAAATCTACAAGCCGGGCGAGGACAAGAGCAAGAGCGAGATTGTTACCAAGAGCGGTATGCCAGTCGCCCACGACGAGATGTCGCGGGAAGAGAAGATGTCGAGAAGGAGACGAGCAAAGGAGAGGGCGAAGAAGGCTGGGCTTAATAAGCCGGTGCAGAAGAAGACGGAGGGCAAGGAGAAGAAGAGGGGTGAGAAGAAGCAACTTGTGTCGGATCTTAAGAAGGGTGGTGTGCAAATTATTGGACGGAAGGGTGTTATTACTGATGTGGAGGGTAAGGAGGTTAAGGAGGCTGCGAAGAGAGGCGCTGGCAGCTTTAAGCTGTGAGGTGATAGATTGGGAATGCAAGTCGAATTATGACATTTTCGAATGCGTTGCAGCAGGTTCAATTCACTCGATTCTGAAGTGCTGGTGTGCGTGGTTCTCCCGTCTGAACTTGCTGTCGTCTCTCCGTGGATGTTCCTTCAATCCGGATTCGTTTGGCGATAGCGCACTACGTACCTTAAACGGAGTTGACAAGCATAGTGCACATATCTTCATCACTCAGGAACGTTCATTTGCAGTATATACATAAGCTACATCATTCCATCATATACCTCATATCCCATCCCACATCACTCATACGCATACCCCTCACAGCACAACCATACCAACCACACACCCCGCCGCCCCAAGCACCATCCCCCAAACACTCCAAGCCCCTACAAAACTCGCCTGACTACTACTCGGCTGAGCCTTATCCGTCACACCGGACTGCCCACTCGCAGTCGCCGTACACTGCTCCCCACACGCATACCCATCGGGACAGCAATTCCCGCCCGCATCCGCCGCACAGCTATACCACGCACTCGGACAGCTTCCCTTCCCTTCCCCAGTCCCCGCACCCGTAGGCGCAACGATAACAACACCATTCGTATTCACAATAGTATCCGTCTCAGGTAGCGCACAAGACCCCGTGGTCTGGCAATCGCGGCCTACGCGGCAGCAGCCCGAGGGGTAGTACGCGCTGCAGACGTAGAAGCCGGCGGGGCAGACGTTGTCGCTGGGGGAGGCGGCGTCGGTGGTTGTTACGGCGGCGCTGGTGGGGCGGACGGGGGCGTCGGGGGCGCGCGTGGAGGACGGGTTGTCGTCGTCGCCGAGGCAGGAGGCGCCCGTTGCGCAGGTGCGGCCGTTCATGCAGCAGCCGCCGCCGAGGGAGGCGGGGCACGAGAACCAGCCTGTTGAGCAGGTGTATGCGGAGCGGGAGGTGGAGGTGGAGGTTGGGGAGGGGGTGCTGGTGCTGGTGGAGGTGGTGGGAGGGATGGCGGCGGCGGTTGTGGTGGTGGAGGTTGAGGTGGGAGTCGCGGAGGTGGAGGGTTGGATGTAGGCTGTTGATGTGAATTCTGCGACGCCTGTACGGATTAGAAACTGCTTTCGTGATATCAGAAAGTTTGAACTTACATCCGATACCCTGACACTTGAAGCCAGGCAAACAACATCCTCCATTCTGCGCATCAGGACAACTCGTATACCCACTCGCCTCATCACAGCTCACACTGCCCGCGCAAGTCTGGCCCTGGGGACAGCATCCCACATCGCCTGCACTCGAGCTCCCAGAGACACTAACACAGGTGCTGCTCGTGCCACAGCACACATCCGGCGCGCCAATGCTCTCACAACTCGTCGTGCCATCTGGACACTTGAACTGGCGGTTCAGAAGAATATCTCTGATATGCATGCGCGCCAGCCAGTCGGACTGTGCCAGAGGGCGTAGCGGCGAAAGCGCTTGCGATGTTGTATTGGCAAAGACATCGTAGTCTGTTCTCTTGGACGATTGCGGCGACGGGGTATCCGCGGCGAATATCCAATTATCCAGCATAAACATTTCGCCCTCGTCCATGCTCATCTTCTTGACTCCAACGGGCTTCTCATATTGCATCCTTTGCTTAACGCTCAACCCCTTCTTCACATGTTCCTCATCTTCAGGAAAGTATTTCAGGTGTCTGGGTACGTTGTGCGGCCATTGCGGTGGTGATTCGGCGAGTACGGGTGTTGCGCAGAGGGCGATGATGGCGGGCGGGAGGGCGAACAGCTGTGGGTAGGCAAGTACATGTGGTAGATACATTGTCACTTGTCAATGTCAACGTCGGAGAATAATTTGGTTCGGAGCAGGTGCAGGAAGAAGCACCTCAGACAAGCTTGCAAGAAAGTGTGGTTGCGGGCTCGTTGTGGTTGGGATGTCAGTGGCTGGTGGAGCGCACCGGAGCTACGACTCAGGTAATTGGCGAGGCTGGGATGCGTTGGCGCCTCACCGCCGATAGGTGGGCAGTGCATCCTGGAGCCCGCCGTTACTGCGACGATGAGGCTCGTTTGGCTAGTTGCTGCGGGCTAAGACGCTGTGTGGTCTACTAGTGCTTTGGGTGTTTGAAGCTTCAGAAGAGGGGACTCGCAAACGTCATGGCGACATGCATGTTCCGCTGATTCCGAGCTCTCATCTGCAGGGGCTGGTCGACTCCCATTCAACATGTCCACCCAGCCTTGACTATCGACACGTCTACTACTTGGTCAGCATGAGAATCACCTGTTGTCCGAGCCAAATGTCCAGCGCGACTTCGAGACGGAGCATAAACAATACTCCAATCCGCACGTTCCCCTTCTGGTCAGGCTTCTTGATCTCAATGCAGGGTCACTGAGCAGCCCACCTAACGAACACAGAAGCCGGTTGCACGGCCATTTCCATTGTACATATATTCAGATGATGCATAACGCGAGGGGAGATCTCCGTCAATGGCCACCGACCGCTTGCCACAGCCAGTCGGAAGGCTAGCCTACTCCTTTTTCAACCCACCAAGATTGTGTTGCAGCGCGTATCGCGCGGACCTCCGTTTCCTCAGCCCGTCGTACCAACTGGTCATCTTATACAAACGACCCTGTTGTACCACCTGAGTCTGTCGAACAGCACCACTCTTCCACACCGATCAAGCCTGCAGACCCTTGCGAGCCTTGCGCTCGCTCATGCGCTGGTTCTCCAGCATGGCCACCCAGATGAAGCAGGGCACAAATGCACAAGTCCCCATCAACACCATAATTTTCTGCGCGTCGCCGAACGCGTGTACCACGGCCTGACGCTCCGGACTACCCCATGGCAGTGACAACTGCGTAGTGATATCACCATAGATCTTGGGAGCCAGGTGCTTCGACTCTTCAGGGAGGTATTCGACGAGCCTCTTGGGTACGATTTGAGCCCAGAGAGTGCCGCTAACAGACTGGCCGATCGCACCACCAACAGCCGTGACGAGGTTGAGAAGCGCGATAGCAACAGCGACTTGGTCGTGCGGTACAGCCATCATGATAGCAACTTGCTCCACGTTGTAGAGCATAGCGCTCGCCATGGCGCCGAGTACCTCCACCAGGATCAGGATTGCTATCGGGGAGTCGGGTGTGCGGAGATAGATCAACAGGCCAGTCATGAGTAGTTGAGTCGGGACGGCGATGACGGCACCCCATTTGTAGGTATCAGTGTACTTCATCGCGAAGCTGATGATGATTGCCCAGGTGCACGAAACGATGTTGAAGATGTTCGTGATATATCCGGCCTTGGAAACGGAAAGCTGGAACACGACCTGGAGGTATGAGGAGTACATCATACGGTATGAGCTGGTTACTAATGTCAGCACAGAAGTCTCGTAGGCTTTGAATGACTTACTAAAACGCGATCCAGGAGTTGCAACCCAGCAGGCATGCCGCAATGATCGAACGGTTCTTCATGAGGTAGTATGGGAAGAGGGCATGGCTAGCGTAGTAACGCTCCCAAGCCACGAAGAGTAGGATGAGGCAGATTCCGAAGCTGACCATGCATATGAACATTGGAGAGCCGAAGCCGTCCTTCTGGTAGACTGCAAGAGGCCAAGGAAGAAGAAGCAGGGAGAATCCACCGGTGATGAGTATGACCCCGATCACTGTGACTGTTAGCAGGGAAAGGAAGTCTCACTGCGAGTTGAAATTACCATCAAATTCGGTACACCAGTGTTTGGTGCTCTGCCAGACCGTCCTGCCGCTTGGCTCGCGCGAGATGACGCCCATCTTTCTTGCTCGCCTGCCCATGAGCCAGAAGACGAGCCAGAAGGATATGGAGAAGACTGGTGTCATGATAGCGAAAGATCCATAGCCCCAACGCCAGGTGCTGTGGTTGAGCCAGGTTTCACCAAGCTTGGGACCAGCCTAGACATGGTGATGTCAGTATACGTCCAACCAACTTTCAGAAAGGCGACTTACGAAGGTGTTGACAACGTAGGGGAATCCAGTGAACGCCATCCAGATCAAACGGTTCTGCATAAGCGCGGTATCGGCGATGAAAATGTTGAAGATGTAATCGACGCCGTTCATGCCGGTCCAGTAGATGACTTGCGCAGCGCAAAAGGTCTGGACGTTTTGGCATAGAGCCATGAGAATGAGCGCTACAAGGACACTAGTCAGCACTGACAATGTACACTGAAGTATCGAGATGGACGCCTTCCTCTGGCCCTCGAGCTTCGGATCCATGAGTCTCTTCCGAAGATATTGGATTGATTGGAGTGAATGAACTTACAAGCAACGATGAACATCAAGCAAAGAAGAAAGCCGTGAGGCCGTCCAACGATATCAATGAACTTGGCCAGCGGAAGCTTCGATACACCTCCGACAATGTTCGCAACGATATCGGTAATAGCCGTAAGACCGTGCATCATGAAGGCCGAGGTGACGTAGGGTCGCCATGAGAAGTTGGTTTGTTGTTGGAGAGAGTTAACGAAAGAGATGAGCATGATCCTATGGGATGTAAGCATTGTCTTATCCATCATAGCAGTACAAAGCATCAACGGGCAGAAGATGATGCGCAAGAACAAGACGAGCTTACGCAGCATAAGCGGCAATCAGCCATTTCTTCGTCCAGACAACAGTCAAGCCCTCCATATCAGCCGGACCCTTGGCCTGCTCCGCGATACCGTCTTCGGCAGCGGGATAGGTGTTCATCGAGACATTGCTGTCGTACTTGGCCGTGGTGCTCGGCGGCTTAACCGAAGAAGCATCGGCAGCGATCTCGGGGGTGTCGCAGAACTCGCGGCGCTCCGTGGGAGTCATCCCGGCCATCTTATCGATCTGGGGGACGTATCCGCTCGCCATGGTGTACCTGCGGTCGCTGGTACTGCGCATGTTTAGTTTCTTCATCTGCGGCTGCAATTGGGGAAGCTAAGTACCTTGCCGCGGAACAAATGCGACGGAATGGCGACAGCGGCGAGTTTGGGTAAAGAGCAAACTAATTGCGGTTTGCGATTGAGTGTATGGTTGTTTTGCTTGGCTGACGCGGCCAG